AACAAAAAGTAACCCAAAATAAAAGAAAAACCCAATCTCACCATTAAGAGCAAAGTTATGGCCACCCAAAGTTTTTGTACATCTACATCTTTCATGATATAATTATTATCGAAGAAAATAATACTTTCATAAATACATAATTTCATGGATGCCCTATATACATAGATATATGTGCATTAGGTATTATTAAAAAAATTAAACCTAAAAATAAAAAAAATGTAATGTAATTTGTAACTTGTGACCCATTGTCTGGGTCAAGTGGGTTGATAGTTCAAGCATCTAGGTCAACAGGTCTCTGACCAAGTCAACCATTTTTGAGTGCTTGCAGTTTGGATTTATCCCGAGTTGGAATTGTTGCCAGGCAACGTTTAAAATTTCGACACAATACACTCTTATTGGGCGTATCATATTGTATTGGTGGTTCACCAATACATGAAATACATGGTGTTTGGCATTTTGACCCATTTCAGGGGGTAGGCAGGCCTAAGACCCACCCCCTGACCTTTTTTGGAAAAATAAAAACTAAAAAGAGGATGGGCATTAGGTACACAGTACCAATGGTTTAAAAGGTGTGCCTAGGTGCTCAGGCAAGACACATTTTATGGTATGCAACTTGCGTGCGCCTGGTGTGCCTTGCGCTTCAGTCCAATCGTGTGCTTTTTTTATTTTTTTGCACTTTTTGTTCTTTTTTGAAGCAAGTCCTTGAGGCAAGCCTAAACAAGTCCACGTTAGGGTCTTAAATTCTTAATCCTTACACAAAAAATAAATGATTTTATAATTTTAATTGCCTTTTTTGAGAACCACTTATTTGCTAATGTTGTTCATTCATTCATTCATCATAGTAAAATATCTTCTTAAAAGGCAATTAAAATTATAAAATCAATTTTTTTTTTGGTGTAAGGATTAAGAATTTAAGATCCTAACATGGACTTGTTTGGGCTTGCTTCGAGGGACTTGGTACAAAGGTGGCTCATAGAATCAAGAATGCAAGATATTTTACATTACATTAGCCATTTGAAGTAATGCAATTGAGGAAAAAATTGATTTTATTTTTAGATTTTCATTTGAATGCACTTTACATGTTATGTTTATGTATTTTAATTTTAGATAATAGTTTTTTAAATATTTATATTAAAATTTAAGTTTATATTTTATTAAATATTATGTTTAATATGTTTTTTATTTTTTGATTTTTTTTGACATCTTTTGAACTTTTTTGGCATTTTTTTTATATTATTGCACCTTGCTTCAGAAAGGCGCGTGCCCTGCCTTGCACCTCAGGTGCAAATTGTCCCTTGTGTTTTTTTTTTTGGGTGCAAAGTACTGATACACTCTTTTTGGCATATCAAGGTGTATCGATACTTTGAACCTTGTTGCCGGGTGATGGTTTGAACAGTTTGACTGTCTGGGTCAGTGGTAGGAAAATACCATGCCAGATTGGGGTGCAAGTTGGGCAGGTTTGGCTGGGTTTTAGCTTAACCCCGGCCCAACCCTAAGAATTGGGCCTAAGGCCAAATCCCGAAGTCAAGCCCAAACTATCCAACCCAAGCCCATTTCGCACTAAAATTTGATGCACTCAGGTTGGGCTTGGGCCCGGGCTAGACTCAGGTTGGTCAATCATCTTACACTAAAAATTGATATACATGTATGATGTGTGTGTATATGTATGCATGAATGCATATATGTGTGGTTTATTATAAAAGTTATGCATATATGCATGTATGCATGCAAATATGCGTCTATATGTGCATATACACATGTATATTATCCCCAAAAATTAAAAAGTCTGAACTTTTGGGCCCAGGCCCTGAGGACCAAAAATCCAAGCCCAACCGGTGTAAAATTGCAGGCTGGATTGGTCTGGGCTCAGGTTGGGCATGCCCAAGTTGCACCTCTAAATTCAGATAGAAGACCTTAATGACGTGATTTCCACTATGATACTATGTATGTCAGGTGGAGGTTGTTTGTACTAGTGATGTAGGATATAGTAGGGATCCTACAAATTTCAGATCTATTTGTGGGGTGAAGGAATATTGGTGATTAATGATGAAGAATCAAGTAGACAGTTTGCTGTCACCCAAAGAATGAGTAAGAAATTAGAAGAGAGAGGGAGGAGCCCTTGTTGTTAGAATAAACAGCAGAGATGGATCACTTAGAAGAAGAAATAGGTATTCCTGACAAAAACTAGAATTCATTAAACCAAACTTTGTTTAATCAAATCAACTCTTCTTCTTCTTCTTTTTTTTGATGGGCAACTGTGCACTTTATTGATTGATTATAAAGAATAAAATTATGTAGAGGTATAATGTGCCAAGCACCTTAACAGTTTACACTGCCCGAGATATTCATTTAAAATGATCCTAGGACTCAAGAGTCCCTATTAGTCACCCCAAAACAACTGCTTCCTATTGTTTTGCAAGACAATCTGCCATACTGTTTTCTGTTCTTTGGGTCCAACAGAATTCTGCTCTCAATTCTTGTGCAAGTTGTTTCGCCTCCCTCAAAATATTTCTATATTGCCATGTGTCCCTCCTTGTTATGCCTTAAGCAATTCAAAGCAACCCAACAATCTTCTTCTGCCACTATGTGAGTATGTTCTTGTAATTAAATAACTTTCCCAACTTTATTTCTTAATGCGGGGCAAGTAATTCCTCTCTGACCGGGTTTCCTTGGCCAGTTACTTCTGAATAAATTGCCAATATCACACCGTTGTGATTCCTAAACACCCCACCTGTGCCTGATCTTCTCAGGTTTCCAACACTACTTCCATCAAAGCTGAGCTTAATCTGAGGTACATTTTGGAGGTTTCCAAGCTGAATGGGTTTGTGTCCTTGTTGTTGCCAAATCAACTCTTCTTAAAGTGCATTTACAGTGATTGTACTTACAAACTCAACATACACCCAAAAATTCTGAAATTGGTGTAGGGATTGAAAAACTGATTTATTTCTCCATAAATTCATCCTTGCTTCAATATCTGCATCAACTAGTTCCTTTCTCTCCAAGCTTCACCCAAAATTACTAAAAATAGTAAATCATGATTGTACTATAAATAGTAAGCCTGAGAGTGAGCATAAATAGTAATTTTGAAATAACGATAAGCTTTGGAAAACTTAAAACCCTATTCTTCAGACACCTACAACTAGAAAATAAATTAAAAAAAACTGAAAACCAATATCCTATCATCCCAAAATTCTGAAACTGGTGTAGGAATTGAAAAACTGATTTGTTTCTCAATGAATTCTTTCTTTGCTTCAATATCTTCAGAAAATAATTCCTTTCTCTCCAAGTTTTTTGGAGTATAGGGGGTTTCCTTCTAATATCTTTGAATAAGGCTCTCATTACCATTGCTGATAAAGAAACCTTGGTTCATGGAAACTAAACTTTGCTTAGGGTTATATTTTAAGTATTTCTCAGTAGATTATTTCTACACTAGTCACTAATGACAACAACAGTTACTCCAAAAGGGGTCCTATTATTATGACCAATGGAACAAGGACATACAGGGTCAGTAAACTTATCAAAGTAACATTCCAAAATTATTTGCTCTGCACTAATTTGCACGTTTAAAACCTGGATTCATTGTATGAAGACAGGTACTAATGCCACCATGGATACAAGATGGAGATCTGGATTGCATAAACAATGATATATACTCTTAGTTTAGATCTAAGAGAAAGATATAGAGCAATCTACTTCTGAGAAGGATTTTATTTATTTATTTATTGGGTCCAAGAAAGGATTTTGTTATCTCTTCTGGTACTTTGTAGTTTCAATTTTACTATTTTAAAAGTTCAGACTGTTTCAACTTTCAACTATTGCCTTATTTATGGTAGGAATCTACATGTTAGTTGCTTCGAGTTATATTTCCTTCCAAGGAAATATAAGTAATACTTACTGGGCTCTTGAAATTGCATAAGTTTTCAAAAAGAGTGACCCAATTCCAGGTAAAGTTATTAAATTAGAAGATTGGTTGTTGTTGATAATATGCATTCTGAAGTATAGGGACCCAGGAAAACCGGGTATTGGTGGAGTTTTCAGAAACTGTCGAGATATTTTTGTTGTTTTCTCTAGACAATTTGGTTCTGCAAATTCCATAACAGTAGAATCACAAGCAAAACTACAAGGGTTAAAGATAGCTAAAGCTGCATAATTTTAGGCCCTGCTTCAACTGGTGTTTTTTTTTTTTTTGAAAACGCTGTCTTTGTTTTTTTTTCTCATCATGGGTGATGCAGGAGCTGAAGAGGCCAAATTGGAATTTTATGAAATTTTATGTATTTTTGTATTTTGGATAGTAGTATTTTTGTCATTTGCAATTTTTCTGTGGGGTCCGTTGATAGGGTTTAATTTGTTTAGTTATAGTTTGTTTATGTTTAAAATTCAGAGTCATTGCATAAGTAGGATTAGAGTTATTGAGTCTTCTTTGAATTGAAATAGGATATGACTGCTTAGTTTGAGAGGATTATTGAGTCTAACGGTTTGACTCCTAGGATTATTGAGTTTAGAGTCTATAAATATGTAGGGACGTTTTACACAAAGGCAATGAAGTTTATTAAGTTTTCTTCAGAATATGCTAGCTATGGTGAGTGATTCTCATGCCCTAGAGTGATTCTAGGCACCCTGTGAGTGATTCCAGGTATTCTCTCTTCTTTCTCTCCCTATTTTCTCTCTTTATTCTTTCAAGAAGCCATTACATCCATCAATAGCCATAAAACTTTGATCAAGAAGACCATTCAACAATTCTTTAAGGACTAGAACTGAGCTGGTCCTACATCAATGGGGCTACACAACCCTGGGGGGGGGGGGGTAACCTGTCCCCCACACTCATAGCTCTCCCAAGTGGGGAGGAGCTCTTGATGGAGCAGGTTCTATTTTGTTTTCTTTTGTTGTTTTTACCTTACATTACTTCTATACTTAACTACATAATGCCTTTGCATCTGTTGCACATCTTGTACATTATTTCATATTAATAAAATATCAACTATTACTGATGAAAAAGTATATGCATTATAAAGTGATAACCTTCTACTTCTATCAATTTTCTTTTCTGCTCATTTATGTAAACAATCTTGACAAGGTACAGAAAAGGGGATACAAAAGCTACTACCAGATAAAATAAAGAAAGGAGAAGACGCAAGAAAAAAAAGTAGTTTCCATCTCCAAAATCGTATACATTTTTGTTTGTTTTCCTTTCTGATGAAATCACATAGTTTAATACAGATCTTCAGAACCACATTCCATTAAAACCCTTTCAATTAGTCTCTGTCGCAGTAAGAGTAGTATTAGAAACCTCGTTTGCTTCTGTTTGTCTTCCTTTGGACTTTGAATCATCAATGTAGTGCTGATAAACATAGGAAACAAAGCCCCAAATAGCCAACAACAAGGCAACCACCTTTATCCCATCCATTTTGTCATGGAAAAAGACCATAGCAAGAATTGGAACAATGGGCAAACACAAAGTACTAACACAATTGGAGAAGAGGGAAGAGACGTCAAAAATCAATCCTACTGTGCCAATAGATGAAATCTGCCAACCCACAGCTGTCCAAACCAAAGTCATGATGTAAGATAATTTCCCCAGTCCATACTCCTCCATCTCGCTTTTCAAACCCTTCCAATCTCCGCTTGCAAAAAGGCCTATTGTGCTTGCACAAGTTGCAACAAGGGATTGGTAGAATATCATTTCCAAGACTACAGAAAATGTCTCCTTTTTTAGAACTTTCTGGTAGGACAGCTGTGTTAGGGAAAGGTACAAGGAGAATACAGCAGATGCACCAACAGTGAATAGGACCCCTATTGCATGCTTACCTTTAGAGATTCCTGTGTTTTCTGTGGAATCAGGTTGGAGCACTAGTAGGGTGGAAGAGATTGTTAGGAGGACTAGAGAATTTAGTATAAAAGGTGTGAACTTTTGGGAATTGAGGAAGAAGGAGAAGAGTGCATTGAAAGCCAACTGTGTTGCACAGATGAGGGAATATGTAGAAACAGGGAGATACAAAAGGCCATATGAATACAACATGTTGTCGCCTGCCACCAATATGCCAAGGGATGCATAGATGAACCCAATGGTGGGAGTGGAAGAAGCTTTGGTGGTTTTTATAATGGAATTGGCAGGTGATGATTGAAAGAGGCACAGGGGAAGGATGAGGATTGGAAATCCTGCAGATTGAACAATTGTTGCCATCCATTTGCTCTTTCCACCTTTGTCATAATATAATCTTCCCAAGAGAGTAGCTGCAGGCTGGCCAGAGAGGAGGAGAAGTGTGTAGAATATCACACGAACCCACCGGTTGTAATGTTTGAGTCGGGAAAGTAGTGGATGATTATTGATAGTGTCATCCTTTTGTGAGTTTGTTTTATTGGTTTCCTGAACTGCAACAGGGAAAAAAGGTGCTAGTGAAATACTTGGCCTGTGGAAAATGTTTTGCTGTAAAACCATGCACAACTGTTATCCCATCCATCTCTGTTTCACATAGAGTTCTTTTGCAAATCCAGTCCCATCTATATTACCCTTGTGAATGTTTGTCTTCTTAATAAATTTCTTATCAAATGTTTCTAAGAATACACCTTGAAATGTCTGTTATTTGAATAATTATCAAAAAAAAATGTCTGTTATTTGAATAGGTGGTGGGAAGCAATTAGTCTAGAGCATGGCAAAGATAGTTCAGTAAGTCATCTTTACAAGAGAAAAAAGCAGAAGGGAGAGGGTGGCTCAAGGTTATCAGAAGATAATTCAGATAGGGAGGAGGAATGGGAGGTGATCATCAACAAGGTGAGGAAAGTGAGTAAAAATTTGGAAATGAGAAGATAATAGATAAAGAGATTGAGATTGTAAAGGTAATGGGTGTGCTTTATATAGGGGAAGAAGAGGCAGCAAGAAGAAGTTTTGAAAAGTTAGACAAAAGAGAAAAGAAAACAGTACAAGAGGATGCTCAGAATAAAACAGAAGAGTGAAGACTTAAAAGAGCTGAATGGGAAATCAATGTTGGAGGGTGGAAAAGATTATAAGAGTAAGATAGGAGTCCAAAGTACAGAAGATGAATTGAAGTTTACAGGGTAAGGGCTGGGGTGGATAATGTAGAAGTGGAAAGAGGAAGGGGAGAATGAAAATGGTAGTTTCAGCTAGTTTGGTATTGTGAGGTGATTTGGTATAGCTGTTACTCTTTTTGGCAGAATATATCTGCATGGTTTGGAGAGGTCAATTGATCGCATGCGTATTTGGACTGATTTTTCTATTTTTGAGCTGGGGGTGATGGATGCTTATTTTCTCAATTGATGATGGCTTATCACCCCTTCTTGTACTCCCTTTCATTTTTTAGCAAACGTTTCTTCTTTATATATAGAATAGTTTGTTTCATATATTATGAGACAAATTTCTGGTATAACCTTTCAAGTGAAACTGATGGCATTGTTGAAGGGTCTTATGGTACAATTCCTTAATGGTTTGGTGGTACATGTGCTAGTTTAACAACCATTTTTTTTTATCAGAAATGGTCTAGTGCAATAACCATGACCATGGCATGACCTCAACTAGTTTACTGATTGGGTTGATTTTTAGTTGAAGATGGAAGATATCTAATAGGAGCCATCAAATAGTTAGTGCAGCCTTATATATGTTTGGGACATAGGCAACTATGCATCTTGTAGACCATAAAACTTTTATGGTATTTCCATTACCTTTATAAAAGGGGGAGGTGAGCCCATTTAGTCAACTGCTTTTTCTTTGTCGTTCCCTTTACACCCTTGGTCTGTGTGTGTGTATGCGTGCGGCCATGAGTCTCTTTTCCTTTGGGTTTTGGTTTTGGATTCACTTAAGCAAGGTTGAAAAACATCACAACGTATTGGTGCTGATATTTGTCAAATTTTCAACCCACCTATACTTTAAATACTCAAAGTTCATTTATTCTAGGAGAATGACGGTTCAGCCCAGGGTCAGAATTTTTAGGCTCAAAGTACAGTTGGGGAATTGATGCCAATTTACTGGTGGGCATTTGGTGTATAGAGTGTGGGTATTTGACATTTTGAATGTTTATTCTATCCGTTTTATATGATATCATTTGATGTAACATTTGTACTGAGAAAACGTGAGACAAAGGTTAAAAAAAGAGTTTGGATTGTTCGAGGCTCTTGATATATATATATATGTATATATAAATGAAGCAAATAAAGGAGGGGTATAAAAACAGAAATAGACATTGGTAACTCAAAACCGAACTATAATCAATAGACTGATGATGATAATAAAATGTATTTTTTTCTAATCCCAGTTGCAATCAAATGAAAGAGGAATAGAGGGATAATCAAATAAAGATTCTGCCCATCTTAGTGAGGGAATAGATATTTTTTTTTTCTCTTAATTCAAAAGGCCGAGTCCCATCCAAGGAAGAACAAAATAGTGAATTGTTGGAATGTTATAACTTTTCTACTGGAATCTATTTTATTACAATTTTTTCAGGAAGATTCATCATCCATGATCACAAGAGTTTTACAAAGTTTTAGTGATGGCGGTCAACTCGTCACTTCTTTTATTGTAAGGAACACTAAGGTTAAAAATTAAAGTTTTTCCTTTTCCAATTTTCTATTTGGTTTGTGACCAGTGGAATTGGAAGAGAAATGATCATGGAATAATGCCCCATAATTTTGATCCTTGAGTGCGACCCTATCCACTGATTAAAGGAATATCTATTTGGACTTCTTTTTCTCAAGAACAAAAAAAAAAAAAAAAAGAATTGGAGTGCAAATTTACAATAGGAAAAGGTTAAATAATTTTTCCTCTTTATCTATGAAATATTCATACTGATAGAATAAGAATTATGTAAATGTAAATGTATGCTTTCTGTAAAGATTAAATAATTTGTTTACCAAAAAAATGTAAATGTATACTCTTGTTTTATGGATTCGAACACTTAAAAGATGCTATGAGAATCCATGCCTTTCTCAGGAGGAAGTTATTTCTTTTATTTTCTTGATGATATAGAGCTTTACTTCATCATTATCATCAATTGTGGCTGTTGGGAAATGGGGTCACTGAAACTTGGAGGAGAAGCTCTGAGGTGCATTTGAAGACACTGTCTTTAGAACGTTATTTACCCCCATTCAGTTTCACTGAGTTTGCTGTTGGGTTACAGGCAAATCCGTTTCTAGGATACAATAGAGTCTTCGGACGAGAATCTGCAACCAACAAAGTTGAAGAGTTTCCGAAGAAACCTTTTATGAGACTGTAGCAGACCAGATTGAGAGAGAGAGAGAGAGAGGGAGAGAGAAGGTGATTTTCGAAAATGTTTTGTGTGTACAAATGCTTGATTTGTGCTCCTTAAATAATCTCTGAAGAGTCATGAAAGTGCTGATTTAGAAAAGGCACCTTGAACAGTCACAATTTTAAACATTGACTATTTAAAAGGTAGTTAACAATTTATGATTGTTAATTTTGAATTATGTCTCTTGATCACAGCCGACCGAATCGTGTCTGTTGATCACATCAACGGTTAGCATTGCACCAAAAGGCAAGCAAAGTACGCCTCTAAAGTGCTGCACACACACGTGCACACGCGTGCATGTGCATTGCACGGTAGCAAGCCTCATACTCTCCTCTTCTATTTCTGAGTATAAATCAGCTCCTATTAAAAAACACAAAACAAAACTTGTAATTTTCCAATGTGGGACAAGTTCAAATCTGGTTTTTGTAAGAAAAAAGCTATTTTTCAAAACAAGTGTGTTTGTAATTGATCAATCAAACCCATTAGATTTAATCTCTAATGAGATTAAAATCCAACAGTGGCAAAAGGTGAAAACGTTGTTCCTTATTGTGTTTGTGTGAATATAGGAGCTTATTATATTTTCTGCCATCCTGTGAGTACATAACTGTGAATTATTGAAAACGCTACCATGAATCATAGAATATAAAATCACAAGGAAAATATTTAGAAGGCACGACAGAAGAGAGGCCTGTATGTAACCTCCCATACAGTATACCACACAGCACTAGCATTACTTTTCCTGAAAATATCAACAGACTGCAGCGCTATTGTGGAAGTTCTTTCTTGCTTGGTTGGGGGCTGGCAGGCTGCTAAAACGGTATAGAAACAAAGCTTTGGGCCTTTTGGCCTTAAAGGGGCAAAAGCAAGCATGTAAATGAATGTTTCAAACTGAACTTTTGGCCTTAAAGGGGCGAAAGCAAGGTTTGGGCCTTTTGGTGTGAGGCGCACTCTCTGAGGAGCAAATCCGAATTCTTTTTACAATAAAACGGATGGAACCCAAATAAAATATGAAAAGCAGTTTTTCAGTAAAACCTTTCTGCATCTTGCTTCCTTGTTTTTTACATCCCCCACCCCAACAACCACATACACAGACACACAAAATAAAAGCAGTAAGCGATAAAAAAACTTACCTCTAATGTGGAGTTGCAGTTCTTGAGCCCGTTCCATGGAGAAGCAGAGAGTGCAAAAGGAGATGAGAAAGCATGGGGCGAAAGACTGTAAGTCTGTAACTGTTCAATGAGTTTCACTTCTTTAATGCGTGCATATATCGAGCTTTACTTCCACCTTTGTTTTTCCTTTTTTTTTTTTTTTTTTCCTGGTAACAAGAAAGTAGTGGATATACACAACGAGCTTGCTTCTACTTATTTTTTCTGGTAAAAAGAAAGTAGTGCATATACACCATCAGCTTGCTTGTACTTGAAATAGTGCATATACACCATCAACTTAGGTGATTGGTTCTCTGTTTGTGACCTTACAATCCAATGTCTCATCTGTGTACACTTCATACACAATTGAAAACTCAATAGGTGGTCCACGGATTTCATGGTCAACATTGGAGAGCTACACCTGAATTCTGTAGTTATATTTACACATGCACTTTTCTGGCATGATCTTGATCTTTCACAAGCGGCTGTGGTGGTCGATGCGATGTTGGATACTTGGATATGGTCCGCTTATAATAATAATAATAATAATAATAATAATAATGGAAGCAGCTGACAAATGCACATGGGTGTTTATGTAGGAAGTTTGGAAAATCTTTTGAAAGACTATGAATCGACATGTTCAAAAGCCTGCACGTTTTGTCTTCAATTGAATTGGCGAGTTATGATGCATTTATTGATATTTGTTGCACATTAAATCAAGATTTTCCTGCTGTGGTGTTTTGTGGGTAGAGATGTGAGAATAATTTGAGTAGCAGATCCCAAGTGTAAAGATGATAACTGTGACATGTTTTACCACTGATTCTTTACACTCGTCTTTTGTTGCATGGTGCAATTGATGCCCCATAGATTTTGCCTCAATTGATGCCCTATAGATTTTCTCAAATTTCAAGGCAACTGGTTCTTTTACTATTCAAGATGGCCGGTGAAGGCATACTAATAAGTTGAAAGATGGGACAGCCTTTCAAAGATTTTGTAGCTGAATGATCACTGTGGGAAGAAGAAACATAACCACTTGGATAATGCAACCCTCTTTTATTTGAGCGTGCAAAACAAGTTCATATTGGCAGAGTTATAAGATGAAAATCATGCGAACTTGTCGAAAAAAAAGCAAAGAAAAGAAAGAAGATAAAATACATTTATAGACCACTTTTTATCCCCACAACCATGGTATATGGCAGATCGGGAAGGGTCATCATCCAATTGAAGCCTCTAGTTCGAAGATCCTAACAATTGAATCAATCGGTCTCATTTGGACGGTATGATGAAATAATTATCGGTATCATAATCAGAGTTTTTCTTCGGTATTTCATTGCTTCTTGTCACCAAATTCATACAATTTGGAATTATTCTTTCTGATCAGGAGTATTTAACTTGTGATCCTCTGCCCCTGGTGATTGCTTTGAATTGCAACAACGTTCAGATAACAGAGAGATCGCTTGGTTGGCCAACCTTGTTAGCTCACCTGACCTGCTCCTTTTTTTTTTGAATGGCCAGAAAACATGTGCGCTATTATCTATATCTATACCATCATAAAGTGGGTACTTGCCTTGGTTTTGTGCAAGTTATAGAAGTTAAATTTGAACATATAATGTCAACTTCCATAGTTTGTTATAACTCCAATAATCCCTATCTTCACTGTCATGATCAATGACTTAAAGGGGTGTTCGACAACATGGTTGGTTTTGTTTTTGAAAACAAAAACAACTGCCATATCATCAAAAACAATACAATTTTGCTGATGTGGTAGTTGTTTTTGTTTTTAAAAACAAAACCAAACATATTGTCAAACACCCCCTTAAATTGTCGTTCTTTCAAATATATAGATCACTTGTTAAGATTAGTTCACCTCATCTATCAAAAGATTCAAAATGTTGCAAAGAGACTAAGGTGGCGTTTGTTAGAAAGATATTAAAAGTGTCTGAAATTTGAAAAGAGACATAGTTGCTTTTCAACTTTTTAGAGGCTCTGAATAAAGAAGGTTGTTTGTGTTAGATCAAACCTTCAGCATCTGAAATTCATTGATTTTATTATTTTACCCCTAAAATAAACTATTTGGTAATTTTGATTTCAATTTGCATTATTTCATAAAAAATAATTTATTAAATTCAAAAAATATGAGATAAATTATAAAAATAAAAAATAATTTATTAAAATAAGAATAAAATTGAAAATACATATCAATTTATAAACTAAAAATAAATTATTAAGAGTTAAAATAATAATGAAAATAGTAATAAAGACCATGAAGCAATAAAAAAATTTAATAATTATCAAATTAATATCTTAAAACTATTAAAATATTTAATAATTAATAAAAACTAAAATAATTAATAATTAATACAAATATAATTTATAAAAAATAAAAAACAATTTATTAAAATAATAATAAAATTGAAAAGAACGTCGTTGCTGAGAGTTGCAGCGGCGGTGGTAGAAAGACGGGGGGAGAAAGAGAAAGAGAGAGGGAAGGGAAATCGAACGCCGACAACTGTAGGGTTGTAGTGGTGACGACGGGAAAACAGGGAGAGAGAGAGAGAGAGAGAGAGAGGAATTGAACAGCTAAGAACGAAAATGAGTTTTCCATCACCAATGACTATAGGGTTTCTTGGAGTTCTCCATCGCTGTCTCCTTTAGAGTTCTCCATTTCTCTCCCTCTGCTGTCATAGTTGTTGGCGTCGACAAAAATGTGCCAAGAAATGAGTCGCGATGGTCGCTGGGAGAATAGAATATCAATTCCCAGATGGCCATTGATTGCTGGAATATAGGTCGCCGGGAGAACGGAAACCTAGATCGCTAGGAGACTTGTCTACTGCATCACTGATGATTGGGAACTCAAATGAGAAGAAATTTGGGTTTAAAATGGGATGTCCTTTCAAATATTATCAGGCCCATTTTAGGCTTTTGGACACATCTGAAACGTATCTGAGCGTGTTCAGTCATGGCCCACGGTCTAAACATCTGAAAGTTGCAGATCAACTTTCAGACACATTCAACATACCCAAACACTTACTGGAATCTGAAAAGTAATGTTTTCAGATTTCAGACCTCTTAAAGGCGTTATCAAACGCCACCTAAGCTGTAAGTGGATACGTCTCTTATGAGAGTGACTCCTTTGACTCTCGAGACACTCAGGTCGAAAATCTCTGTTGGTTCAATGCATCAAAATTATGAAGGGCCCATTTATTATGAGCTTAATAGTAAATGATGCAAAATGAAACAGGTTTCTCAACTGTGACGAAATTTTCGCAACTCTCTGTTTGGAATTGGATGCCACAAGTTACAAGTGACGAATTGATGATGATGCTCACAAGGCAAGAAGACTGAATTCAGTTTGTCTAAACTTTCAAAATAGTTCCAATTGCATTCAGGGTGTGTCCAAACGCCTAAAACCACGATGCAAAGGAAAGACTGTAGGGCAGATAAAGTTGTAGAGATGCAACAGAGAGTCTTCGGATTGTCGAGAAAACATGGACAGATACCAGAAGTAAAACTTCAAAGAGCTGAAGTCACTGAATTGAAAGACTTATTGGTTTGTCTTTTGTTGAATAAATTTGTAATGAGTTTGTGAGCTACTTTAATGGCTGAATTTGAAATTGGGTTGATTTATCATACCGCTAAATTATTTTAATTATTTCATCCACTAAAAAACAAAGATATAGGTCATGCAGTTCAGCTACTTCAGTCATTCCGTAACGACCCCTAAGTCAACTAGACAAGTGGAACTCCCTGAAGCTTAAAGCGGCGATTCGGCATTCGAACTGTAATTGATTGTACAATAAGAATCGGGATTAGGAACCCTACTGTTTCGACCTTATTTTTCGAAAATGGAATCATCTTAGCCACCGGTTCACAGGTCAAACGGTCCAATCATCTCGTCCAAACCTAGGTCAGATGGTTTTGGGGTCCAAAACCAGACCCAAACCTGTGACCAGTTCTCGGGTCAACTGATCCGACCATCCAGTCTGCACCGGTTTTTAAAACCATGCATATTTTTATTTGTACTCTTTCCAAACTGAACCTGAACCTATAGTAGAATTTCCTAGCCGAGAATAGAAAGAAGGAAATGCCAATTACCTACCCCCCATCCCAAGAAAAAAAGAGCTACTGATGTCCTAACGACAATCTTTAATTTAAGTAGGTCCTGCTTTGTGCATGCTCCTCTAATATATTTTGAGAATTATGTATATATTGTTCAATGAAAATCCATCTAAGCTCATTTAAAAGGTGAATCAGTCGCCATAGGCATAGGTTACTTATATTTGAAAGACAATGGAGTATCTTTCAGCTAGTATTTGTTCTTGGATCCCAAGAAACTGGAAAATCATTGCCAATGGGCTTGCAAAATCAGTGGTACAGAAGGCTCTCATGAGCATCATCTGCCTTAATTCTAATACAACAACTTGTATGCCTTCTCTATTAACAAAGAAGAATATCCATCTAGGATGACAAGGGGAGCCATGGCCCATGGCACATGGTTGTGATTCATGGACAGCAATAATAACATTGTTCATCAGCTTGTCCTTCCAACCTAAAATACAAAGAATAAAAATGGAAACTTTGACAATTAAATTGTTACCAATGTTTTACAGAATTGATGTTATTTCCATCAAGGTCGATCTTGCAGCTATTAAAAACATTTTGTCAGCTTTATTACCTTAGAGCTTTACCCAGCATGCATCAACTAGTTTTTCTCCTAGTAACTAGCTTATATTGAACACCCACAGTCTGACATTCATGGACTGAAATTTGGTCTGATCAACTCATGTTCAACTTTGTGTCATACATGGCCATTAACAAATCATCATCATCATACATGTCCATTACCCAATGTTGGTAAAAAATTGTAACTCCCCAAGCGCACAAAATAATTGCCAAGAGCCATCCTTCAGAAGTTCAAATCAACAGCCACAAGAATTGCAGTGAATGTTCAGGCTTCAGGCCTCTCACCCCATTGTATCTTTTATTTCTGAGAAGTATGAATTAACCAAAGAAAAGTAAACATATACAAATAATCAAATCAAGTGAACCAAATGGTCTTTCAGGGGTATTTGTGGTCTTGGGAGAGGTGGACTGGGTACAAATTTAATCATTGGCATTACTTTTTCACAAAGAGACAAGCTTGTCGGCAATAGGCTTTACCATTACACCAAGCCATGACCCCTAATTAACCAATTATACAAATGGGATACAAATTTATAACTGGCACCCAACACAATAAAAAAGAGAATGGGTTAAATACCTCCAACATAATATGTTTGACAACATTTGAAAATAATCCTATATCACCAAAAATAAGACATGATACCTCTCTCTCTCAAGACATAGAACCATTAGTTACCTCATTGATGTTAGTTTGTTTTGCCTTCAGCTTAGAATCATCAATATAATGCTGGTATAAATAAGAAGCAAATCCCCAGATTGCCAACAACATGGCCACCACCTTCACCCCATCCATCTTGTCATGCAAAAGTATCACAGCAGCAACGGGAACAAGAGGCAAAGCCAAGGTACTAATTACGTTGGAAAAGAGAGAAGATGCCACAAAAATCAAACCCACAACCCCAACAGAGCAAATCTGCCAAGAGACAGCTGTCCAAACCAAAGTCATCACATAAGATACTTTCCCCTTGCCAAATTGGTCCATTTCTTCCTTCAAGCCCTTCCATTCACCACTGGCAAAAAGACCCACAATGCAAGCACAAGTAGCAACTAGGGATGTAAATATTTGCATTTGCAAGACTATAGAGAAAGTTTGCTTTTTCAGAACCTTCTGGAAGGAAAGCTGCATGAGGGAAAGTATTAGGGAGTAAGCAGCAGATGCACCAAGTGTGCATAGAAAACCAAGAACATATTTTCCCTTAGAGACTCCTTCAGGTTCTGCAGAATCAGAACGGACTGCAATGAGGGAGGCAGATAAGGTAAGGAGAACAATACAATTAAGTATTAAAGCAGTAAATTTTTGAGAATTGATGAAGAAGGAGAAGACTGCATTGAAAGCCAATTGGCTTGCACAGATGAGGGCATAGGTTGAGGCAGAAAGGTACAAGAGCCCAACTGAGTACAGCATGTTGTCACCAGCTATAAGTATGCCAAGGAACAGATAAACTACAACAACAGTAACAATAGAAGGCTGTGCAGAGTCGGTGGAAGTTGTAGAAGGATTTTGGGAGGATGGAAAGAGAAACAATGGGAGGAGAAGGATTGGAAATGCTGCAGTTTGGACAAGTGTTGCCATCCATTTACTATTTCCACCTTGGTCATAGTAGAACCTTCCTAGAAGAACAGCAGCAGATTGACCAATCAGAAGAAAGGCAATGTTTAGTGCCACTAAGAGCCACCAATGCCAGTTCTTCGGTTTGAGGGATGGTTGATTGACAGCAATTCCATCTTTCGGCAGTCCCAGTTCTTGGTACTCTGTAGCAGAAACAATATAGGATGAAAAGAAATTAGTTTATATATAAAGAGGTGTTCCTTTAATAAGATCAATGCAAATTTCTGAAGAATATAACGGAGGATTGTTCAGTGGAGAAAGAAGAAAAGTTTCTAATTATGAGATGTGATGTCTAACCAAATAGTGAAGGACTCTAATGGTTTCAAAATTAAAGTTTGCCCATCTGGTTGACCATTTCTTACTTGGGTACTTGGCATTTCATTTTCTTGAACCTGCACTTGACCTAAACCATTGCATCCCTTCTTCCATGGCTCCATTGGTATCATTATAAAATAGATCAAAAAATTTTTACATCTTTATTTCTTACTTGGGTACTTGGCATTTCACTTTCTCGAAGTGCACTTGACCTAGACCATTAGATCCCTTCTTCCATGGCTCCATTTGTTTCATTATAGAATGGATCAAAAATTTTTTACAGCTTTATTTCTACACCTTTTACAGTGCAAACAAAGTTTTCACCCAAATGACATTGAAACAACTGCAGCCTAATGTTTCTATAAAAGAAGATTTTGACAATATAAACTACAGAAATTCCAAAATGGTTCTCAGAGGGGAGAAAGAACACAACAGTCTGAAGGATGGTTGCTTGTCATTGAACCTTTCGATCACAAATCCTCTTTTCAGTTACAATATGAGAATTTCCAAAAATACAAATTAATAAAATTGAAATAAAGCAGTAACCCAATTCCCTAGAGTATCCACCAAAAAAAAGTCCAAGTGATCACCAACACAGCTGCAGGAGAGAAACAATTTTGAAAAGATACTTCAGAGATTATATAGAAATCCACTTCTCTTTTGGATCATGGCAACATGAAGTAGAGAAAGTGAATTCGTTTTGTGGAAGTGTTAGCAAGAACAACGCAGTACAGTGAACTAAGAACCAATTAGCAGTATTTATCAGAAATGGATGAAAAGCAAGAATCCTTTTGCTCTTCAATAGGTGGAAGCTTGGGACTTGTTCTAAGGATTGCCTAGGAAAAGCAGTTTAACATACTGTCTCTAGAATCATTCCTTTCGGAATAGATTGAAAAAAAAAAATTAATTCCTTTGCTTTTCTTTTGACTTTCAAATTTCAAAGTGAGTTAGTAATAACAAATATTTATCAAATCTATTAGCAGATATGGATGAGTAGTAACTAGTAACAAGCCTTGTCGAAACAATGAAGAAACCAGTTTGTTATATTTGGAATTTGTGGGTCTGTGGCCTTTGAACAAATAAACGGCACACTGTTTTGTACCGATGAAAACAAATTAAGAACTTGCTCATCTTTTCTGGTTGTCAGAACAAACAAGCACGTCTGTGACTTCACCTATTTTCTGTATCAATTCAGTACAATCCTCTGGAATTTAAAACTGAACTAAAACCCAACGTTCGTTTGCTCAAAAAATCACACTTTTATATAAAATTTGGAGAAAAAAACCCTTTGGTACCCCTTCCTTGATGAACGAAGCATTAGAAAACTGAATTGGGGGGGGGGTTATGGACATTTTGAAGAAAAAATCGATGAAGAGAGAGAGAGACCTGGTATACTGAGTCGGATTGATTGAACCTCCGCCATGGAGAATAGCGCCGACGAGATTGAGTAATTCGAAGTTGGAGTAGGAGTGCCGTCGGGTTTATTTCACCTTCAGTTTCGGTTAGAGTGCATCGGTTCGGCACTTCGGCCTGGTTAAATATGGAAAACCCAGGTATCAGTATCACTGCCACTGGTGAGGAACTTTAGGATTAGGGACGCAAACGGATCGGATCCGAACCCGATCCGATCTGATCAAATCTCCGGCCCCGGATTTAGTTTCTGTAAAATTTAACAAATTAATAAAAGAAAAAATATAACAACTTATACAAAGAAAAACAAAAGTACAAGTTTTTTAATATATATTTATAGGATCGGATTCTTTTAGATTTGATAGGGATGATCCAAATTTTGATCAGATTTTTAATTGAATCTTATTATTCACAATTGATCTGTTCTGCAAATTTGACAGAGAATCGATTCAAATTTGCATTGGATCGTGATCCGAACATTCGATCCATTTACACCCCAGAAACTTAGGACCTAGTCAAATTTGCATCGGGTAGTCTGACTCTAACATCGATTTGACAATGAGGTAGAGGTGAGAAGACAAAAGAGTCAAAGAAATACAAATTATTGAGTTATTGTGACCAACACGAGGTTGGATTAGGGCCATTAGGCATGGTGGGGTCCATTGGTTGGAAAGATTGCTTTGGTCAGATAAGATTGGGATTTGGAATCTTCTTAGCACTAATAATCTAGGGTTCCATATCTTGACATGTGTGAACCTTGATTGGATGCATTAGTATATACTTGCCTTGGATGTCAACGGGCAGATTCCGTTACGTCAGCATATTCTATGCTAGTGGGCCCGTGCATCGCACGGGAAAAGTTTATTTCAAAGATTAAATGCACCAATGCAAATAAATCAAATAATTAATTTTGTTGCTAATTTTTTATATTCTATCTATTTCCATCTATATTTATATCCATATATATACATATATGGATATATATTTATATTCTTTCTCATTCTTGTTTTTAAATGAAATCATTATAAATATAACAAGTCAAAATTTCATTATTTATCATAAAATTCATATTTATTCTCTAATAATACCATCTGTCTCTCTCTCTTTCTCAAACTTTAAGGGTCACTTTGGAAGGAGTACAAATACAAATATGTATAATATAAATACATACAAAGTACAAGGTTTTGCACTTTACAAATTTGTATTTATACTCCTTTCAAACTGAGCTTAATAATCAATGTTTGTAATATCTCCCGTTCCCATTAAATTTCTCTTTTCCTTTTAAATCTCCTTTAATCCTTTCTGGCTCTATCTAATAAAGTAGGGGGTGCTAATTAGATGAATTGGGTTAGGTTAACGTCCAACATAAATATGAACCTTAGGTTAGGAATCAATTAACAGTAAAATAGCTAATTAACCATAATAACTGTAATTACTATAATTAATTGTGAATTACAAAATTAATTATTGATTTAATAATAGTAATTAGCAATGAAGTTAATTAACTTTATTTACTTAATTAATAGTAAATTAATTAATTAGATATGAATTATTTTGTGTCTAATTTATATTTTATATTCCATTTTTATTTTTAATTTATATAAAAATCCTACAAAATTGGAATTTGAGCCCTAAAATTTACAGTCAATTAATTAATTTACTACAATTAGCAGTAAACTATTAAATTAGCTGGAATTTTGCATAAATACTGTATTTAACCATAATATATTCAATTACTATGATGACTGGGTGATATTTGAACGATTTGACCATCTGGGCCAACGCTGAGTTCAAAATAAAAACTGAAATTAACACTAAATTAATTAATTTACTCTAATAGCTGTAATTAACTGCCATGAAACTTGGGCTCAAGTATGTTGATCTTCCTCGAGAGACTTCTTTGTACAAGAAGTATCACAAGGAAGATCCTACCCTGAGAGATCCCAAGAGCATAACCTCCTAGGGATGGCAATTCACTAAGGGGGTGTTCTTTTTCTGGATTTTGAGAGGGGGGAAGTTGGTCAATAGGATTTGATTCTAATTGATCAAGAAACTCATGTTCTTTTTCTAGATACTAGTAAATTTGCATATGCTTTGTACGTGGCAATTTTAGATGATGAATATAGTAATATATATTCAAATATTATGTCCAAAGAGAGTAATATTATATGTCTATAAAATAATTCTATATTAGCGATGTTCTAAATGTTTTCTACAAATATTATGTATTTTTGTCTTTCTTTAATTTTTATTATTTAATTATGACATAATGGCTTGACCCATTTGACCCAAATGGTTGAATTGCTTACCTACTACCTAGATAGAAGGACAATTTCATTTTTTTGGTTCAACGTTGAAAAAAAAAGAGATTTAGGGTCCGTTTGATTTGTGGACATGACTGAAAGTAATTTTATTAGTCTATTTATTATTTTCTTATCAATTTATTAATATTTTATGAATATATAATTATTATTTTATTAGTACTTTGTTATTATTATTTTATTAGTATTTAATAATTAATACCTTAGTATTTATTATTAATTTATCAATTTATTACACTTATTAATTACTTTCTTATTTGTTTATTAATTTTATCATTTTGATTATTGTTTTAGAATTAATTTATTATTATTGAATAATTAATATGTTAGTATTTTATCATTACTTTAATTATATTATATATATTATCTGTACTTGATTATTCTTAGTATTTAATAAATAATATTTTAGCTTTTTATTATTACTTTGTTTTTATTATTTTATTAGTATTTATCATTAATTTACGAATGTTTTATTAAAATATAATTATATTATAGTTACTTGAATAATATTTTTATTATATTTTATTAATAATTTATTATATTATTATATTTTAATCTTATTTTCTTATTGGTTTATTAATATTTTATTATAGTATGCTTATTTTATAAATATTTTACTAATATTTTATAATTATCATTATTATTTTATTATTACTTTCATAGTATCTTATTGTTTAATTATGTATTTATTTTTATTATTATTTATGTTATTTATATTAATATTTTATTATTTTATTATTACTATTAATTTATTATTTTATTAACATTAGGGTTTGGGGGGCCTTTTGCCATGAGTTCTTTATTTCTTGATAGACTCTCATATGGGAATCCCATTCTTGGGGGGAAGCCTGGAATGGCTATTCTCCCAAGAATGGGAATCGGCATCCAATTCCACCATATGAGCATTAGTACCTTAAATATATGACTTAATGAGAGGGATTTGAATGAGATGAAAAATAATAGTTAAAATTACATGTTTTGGTCTCACAATTAAAAAGGGGCTAAATTCAAATTAAAAAGTAATTCTTATTTATGGAACTTGTTTTTATTTTATAAGATGAATATACAATTATAAGAGATTTGCTCAAATGTTAATTTTTTTTTTTGCAAAATTTATGTATTTTTCATTTTTAATTGTTTACTATTTAATTATAGCATCAAATATTGACTTGACCTAAGAGTTGAATTGTTGACCTAGATCAAATAGGAAATCAATTTCATTTTTTGGTTGGTTTTGAATTTGTATTTCATTTCCATTATCAATAAAAAAATTATTGCTTATGACACTTATTTTTCTTTAATATGATTAATAAAATATTAGAGAAATGGCCCATTTTTTATATATATATATTTTATTTTTGAATTATTACTATTTTAAATATTTTATTATTAATTATGATATCATGGATTCACCCAATTAACGGGAATGGTTGAATTGGCTTACCACCACTTAGATGGACGAATCATTTTGTTTTTTTTTTTTTATTTTTAAAAGGATAAATTGTTGAAACCTCCCCTAAAGTTTTTGACCATTGTTGAAATCTCCCCTAAAGTTTGGTAATTGCAATTGCCTCTCTTGAACTTTCTAATACAGTATCAAGTAGACCCCCTCTCTTAAAATCCTCTAACAAGAGGCACACAAATGTCCAAAATACCCATGCATTTACTATTGAGGCTGGTTTTTGCATAACAAATAATACAAACTTTATGAACAACAACAAAAAAAAGGAAGTTTGAATTGCAACTTTGAGGGATTCATATGAAGGGAAAATTTGGAAAATAAACATTTTAGTCAAATTAACTACATGGCTATTTTGGACATTTTCATGCCTCTTGTTTGAGGATTACAAGAGAAGGGGTCTACTTGCAACTGTGTTACAATGTTCAGAGGAGGTGATTGCAATTACTCAACTTTATGGGAGGTTTTCAACAATGGTCAAAAACTTCAAAGGAGGTTTTAGAATTTTACCCTTTAAAAAACATGGGTTTCATATTATTAAAAAGTATTTGATAAACATGGGTTTCAAATTACTTTTCAAAATATTTATTTTTATACTATTAAAATTAATGTTGTGTCTTTAATCCATAGAATTTAATGATAAAAAAATATATCTTAAATATATGGTTTAATGAGAGAATATATCCAATTAATTAGTTTTAAATTTTACATTCAATTTTCATCATTAATAAAAATGCTCCTTATTTATCATAATTATTGTTGTTTAATATATCGAATATATGATGCTAAAATGTTCCTAATTATTTTTTATTTTTATATTTTTACATTTTATCTATTTTTGAATTTTATTATTTAGTTGCGGCAACATGGATTAACCCATTTGACCCAAAATGGTTTAATTTCTTACCACCACTTAGATGAAAACACTATTTTTTCCTAGGTAGATTTTAAAAGTACAAGTTTTTATGTTATTGGAATTATTAATTTATTATGTATGGATTTAATTAATATAACTTAATGATGAGAAGAAACAAAAATTTTTTAAATATATGATTTAATGAAGGTGAATGTAAGTTAATTCCTTAAATGCTGGATTTAATGAGAGGTAATTGAATGCATTGGATATCTTAAAATGTTTTAAATATATGATTTAACGAAGGTGAATGTAAGTTAATCCTTAAATGTTGGATTTAATGAGAGGTAATTGAATGCATTGAATATCTTAAAATTACATCTTTTCAACTCATTTAATATCAATAACTGATTACACTATTTGCCCTCATTTTTTATCAATAAATTTAAATATGTAGGGGTAACTTTTTCCCCTAAAAAATTCCAGAAATATTCTTGAGGCTATTCGTGATTTTTAAAGTAGTATAGATATGGGGGACTACACAAAGTTTATTTTCCTGGGTATCACTAAATTTCCCACTTGTGGGGAAAGTTGCCAACACTTGAATGGGACAAAATGCCCCTTTTAATATTAGATTTATTATGTCTAAAATGGTCATTGCCTTATTTACATGCAAAATAAAAGAACATGGGTAAATGCACTTACTTGGGTAAGTCTTTCTTGGGAAAATGAATTTATCTGGGTAAATAACTTACCAAAAGCGAACAGAGCCTTTTTGCAGAATGTCATATTGGACCTTAGTAGATTTAGCAAATAGCTTGTTTGTGTTGGATCAACCCTTTACCATATGAAATTTACTGATTTTACTATTTTACCCCTAGAACATACTATTTGGAAATGTTGAGTTCAATTTGCATTATCTCATAAAAATATTTTTCAACCTCAAAATAATGTTGAAACAATACAGATAAAAAATAAAAAATTAATAATTAATAAATGAAACAATTAAAATTAAAAAAGAATTAACGAGTATAAAAATATTAAAACAATTAATAATTTAAACAAATAAAAAATAATGAAATAATTAAAAAATTCTAGTTAATAAAAATAAGTAATAATTAATAAATAACACAAGTAAAATTAATAAAAAATAATTGATGTTTAATAAAAAATATTAAAATAAATAATAATTAGTAAAAATAAATTATAATTAATAATAATAATAATAATTTGCTCCATTTGAAGAATTTCAATTAAGTGGGGACTCGAGCTAAGATTCAGGCCCATTCAACCAGCTTTGATTTCTCAGCTTTCTCAACCCAACCTCTGCCTTTTTCAAAGCATAAAAATTAAGCAAAGAAACTGAATTTTAGTTGATTAAGAGGATGTTTGGAAAGCCTTTTCATGTAGTTTTTTGGACTTTTCAAAGCTTGGAAGATCCATTGGAAATGAAAGACAGAAAGCTAGAAAGACATATGCCCTAAAAATCTCATGGAAGCTCAAAATAGACAAATATCCACAAGCTTCAAACAAAGTTTCATGTCTTTCTGCCTAAAAACTTTTGTTTAACTGTTTGGTAGACCATAGTAGACTAGGATACTTACCAAATGATCTAGATCTTAATAAAAAAAAAAAAACAAAAGCTCATTCTTTCGAAAAAGGCTTGCCAATTGTCACACAAATTTATTGAATAAATATAAGGGAAAATTCCCGTTTAGTATCATGTACTTTGGGCTTAGTGCCACTTTGGTTCCCAAACTTTAAAATGCGACAATTCAATATCCAAACTTTTAAAACGTGGCAACCTAGCACATGTCGTTAACTAACTGTTAACCAACCATTAAGTGACATTTGAAAAAGACACAAATGCCCTTCAAGTGTTATTTAATTTTCTTTATCAACCATCTAAACGTTGACAAAAAATGAACATTTGAAAATAGAAGAGGCAAGGATTTGAGACTGTTAATTCTTTGTCAATGTTTGGATGGTTGATAAAGAAAATTAGATGGCACTTGAAGGAAATTTGTGTTTTTTCAAATGTCAGACAACTAATTAAAAGCAAGTTAATAGTAGGTACTAGATTGTCATGTTTTGAAAGTTCGGATACTGCATTGTCACATTTTAAAGCTAAGGAACCAAAACAGCACTAGGCCCAAAGTACAGGGTAATCAGAAATTTTCCCTAATAATAATTACAAACACTAAAAAATAAAAAAAAATAAAACCCAAGTTCGTTTTTCTTTTTCTTTTTCTTTTTCATCAATGAAGGATGTGGCGCCACTTAAGCCAGTTATTCAATCGGTGGAACACAAAATTTGACTTCACGGTACTCAAGCTCGAGGCCTCACTTCAATGCCTTGAATAATAATTCCTCTCTTCCAGTGGTTGCTATTTTCCTTTAATTTCATTGTTACTTCTATCTGCGTACCATCAAAAAAGAAGTATCCCAACTCGATCTCCATCCACCCATCATCTCTGCGACGTGGGGTGACATATGGGAGACGCTCTCTTTCCTTCTCTGTTTCATCTTTGTTGCCGTTTTCCTCTGGATAAAGAACACTATCGAATTCATCGTCTTCATCGTTGTCATCAGAATTGAGATCACCATCCACATCTCCACTCTTGTCGTCATCTTCATTGTTGTTGTTGTATTCATGATTTGGATTGACACCACCATCTTCATCTTCATCTTTATTGCTGCTGTTGTCTACGGAATTAGGTAGATATGCCCTGCGTGTGGAAACTCGACTTCCAATTTCTACTGTAATCTCTGAAGGCGCTGCATCCAACCCTGATGCTTGTTTCTCAAATTTCAGGATCAGATATGCACCATAAAGTGTTTTGGGTGAAAAAAAAACCGAATTAATCGTTGCACCAATTTCCAACCATCGGACGCGCTTAAGTTTAACCACCTCTGAGAACCTATATAGTTTATACATATCCACAGAGTTAAAAAATTTAGGAATCTCTCTCCACAAGATGAACTCAGTCTGGAATTTTGGGAGATGATATTCACTAAGACAGTTCAGTAGAGAGAGAGAGAGAGAGTCAAGGAGAGGAATGATTTGATTCTATATATAAACTGACCTTGATTCTGGCATGGATGTCCTGGTCCAGTAGCTCTCTACTCCTTCCATTGCAATGTTAGGGTATCCTGTACTCAACATTAAGCATTTCTTGCCAGTGGATTTCTCCAATTTGAACAGGAACTGCATGAGCATCCAAAAATAAAAAGATCAACAATGTAATATTAATAATTGAATCCTCAATGCTTGATTTTCCTCCTATCATCTTCTAAACCAGAACCCTATATATATCCATCTATCTTCACAAGTAATTCTCTGTATCATTTTCGGTTGTGTTAAACACGAAAAATGAAATGGGTAATTTATGACCCAAGTATTAAATTAAAATTTATAAAAAATTAGGATGTTAAAAAGAACACAGAAGTTCAAAACGTCAACCGTACTTACCAAGTTGCCGGTGCCAATGGGTAGATAATTGCATAAACGATCATAAAGCTCTTTCTTCGACCGGAAAAGTTCTGTCCAGGGAACTGCCTTGAGAACATCTTCATAATCCGGTGGCAGCAGTGCCTCCCATGTAGCATCAGACTCATCTGATGATTTGGATACCAAAGAAGAAGCCATGGATGAACTCCAATTCTCAGCCAACAAAAAAAAATTGCCTTCTATTATATTTCTTGTGTGTTCTGACTTTTGAGTGTATAGAAACGTCAGAACCGGAGATGCTGCCTTCTGTTTCAGGCAAGATGTCACGATCTCTTTCTCATACTTCCCAAAAGAAGAAAAGAAGAAAGATTTATAGAAAGGAAGAAGATGAAGTGGTTGTGAAAGCAAAACATTTAACTCATGTTCTGAGACGCCAATCCCGACTCTTAATTTATGAAGATTATCTTTGTTCCGTCTTTCTCTGTTTTTTAATATATCATATGCAGAAAAATGGGAATTGCTTGTAAAGACTCTCATGTACTTTGTTTTGTTTTGCGATAAAGACTCTCATGTACTATGATAGTGAGACAAAGACCCCTTCCGTTAGCCTTCTGTCTAAGACCGTTACAATATTTTTTAATCCCTATACTGTTCATCTCCCTTCTAATAACTATTCCTCCACATTTCTCTCTCTATATCCCTCTCTCTCCCTCCCTCGATCTCTCTTCTTCCCCTTTCCCTTTCTCTCCTCCTCTTTCTTCTTCCACGCAGTCGGTGCCTTGTCGCTCTGGTGTACGCTCCTCAATCCTCCAATGCTCTCCGGTATCTTGTGGGAAAGACAGTTGTCGGAAAGATCGAGATTTTTGAGCGAAACGAAATTTCCTAAAGGCTCTGGAATCTCTCCGACCAGATTACAGTTAGGAAGCCATAGATTTTCTAGCTTGGTGAGGTTTCCAATATGCAATGGCAATGGACCTGGGGTGAAAGGGTTGTAAGCCAGTGCGAATCTAGTGAGCTGGGTGAGATTGGTAAGGAAGGCAGGGATGATACCATTGAGCAGGTTTCCTAGTAGACAGAGGATAGTGAGGTTGGGAAAACGGCCAAAGCTCGGGGGGATGTGGCCGGAGAAGTTAAGCGAGAGATCCAAGGAGCGCAAGTTGACAAAATCAGGAGTGAAGTCGGGTAAGTTACCGACGAACAAGTTGAGGGGCAGATTCAAATGGTGAAGGTGGGAGCAGGAAGAGATGGAAGCAGAAGTAAGGGAATCGTTAAAGAAATTATCAGCGAGGGAGAGGATTTGAAGGGTGGGAAAGCGGCAGAAATCAACAGGAAAATAGCCATAGATGTGGAGTCCTAAGAGGTAGATAGAGATAACGGAAAGGGAAAGAGGATCACAGACAATGCCAGTCCAATTACAGGGAGTAGTGTTTGTGACTTGCGGGGGTAGATTCCAATCGTGGAGGCTACCAGTGGAATCATCGAGATGGGAATTCTTAACTTGGTGTAAGAAGATGGCGTCTTATGTAAGAGAGGCGGCCAGAAAACAAGGGAGGAAGAAGAAGAGCAAAACAGAGAAGAGAACCAACAGGGTACGAATCGAGCGATGATGTGTCATTTTTTAGGAGAAGAGAAATACTTCAAGGGGTTTAGTTTCTGGAAGAGAGATAGAGAGAGAGAGAGAGAGAGAGAGAGAGGTATAGGTTCAGGAAAGCGGGAAATCGTCGAAGGGGGGCAACGAATGATAAAACAGTTGCCGGTCGGTTTTGGGTGGAGTGGGAGAGCTCAATAAAAGAGAATAGTTGCGTGGGGGATTTCGAAGAAGAAATCCATTTTGGATTACATGAGAAATTAGAGGTGCATGATAATTGATAATTTGATACATCCATAATGGGGTTAGGCTGAATATAACAAAAGCAGAAAGCGGATGTTCTGTTTTTGTAACAGAGCAAAGATCTGAGTGAGCGAGAGTGAGAGCACGAGAAAAGAATGGTTTCAGTTAAAGGATGGGAGAATCACGGAGGAATTTATGCTCATAGGGCAGAAGTTAGAACTATCTGCCTTGCTTACGAGCACTCCAACAAAACATGCATGCTACTATGGATGTGTTATGTGTAACGTGATCTAAATGTGACTGCACTGCAAATTCTAGTCAAACTGCTTCTCCATTCGGCTACTCCCATTCTCCCTCTATACAATACCAATAATGTATTGTGAGGTCGTATGCAGAGGAGAGCGACAAGGCACCGATTGCGTGGAAGAAGAAAGAGGAGAGAAAGGGGAAGGGGAAGAAGAGATTGGGGGAGAGAGATGTAAAAAAATAATTATTAGAAGGRGAAGATGAACAATATTTTTTTTTGTCCCAATAGTTATTAAAAGGATAATATGGGGATTAAAAAATATTGTAATGGCCTTTTTGAACAGAATGCTAACAGAAGAGTCTTTGTCTCACAGTTATAGTACAGAGGTCTTTATCACAAAACAAAGTACAGAAGGGTTTTATCACAGACCCCATAATACAGGGGGTCTTTGTAATGCTCCAAATCATATTCAAAATTAAAAGTGGATTGAAATTTCAAACCAATGTTACAAGTTACAACTTGGATTGGCCACCGAACTGTTTTGGCCACTTGCCTACAGGCTGAACGATCTGCTTGTCTGGTTTAATCATTCAACTTGATTGGACACCGATACAGGACATAGTGCTGTTGATGTGTGGCTTGGAACAAAATGGTGTTTTTATTTTTGTTGAGCAATATCAACTTTTTCTCTTTGGTATCATTGCTTCAGAATCGTTTTCAGTTCATTGGCAGCAATGAGCTGCAGCTCTAAGAAACGCCAAATTTGAGGGATGTTTGGAACTGTGATCGTTTTTCAAAAAAACAGTACCACGTTGGATCTACATAGGCATTTCAACAAACACCCATGTATCTCATTATTTGGTTTAGCTGATTATTAAAAATCGGGCATGCCTCAAAAATCGGGACCCCACCGATGCATGAAAAGCAGTGATAAAAATTTGGCGCTTTATGCATCAGTGAACCATTTCCCTCAATGGTTGACTGATGTGTATCCTATGTGGTGCTTACCTGTCAGCACATACATGAAAAGCAGTGATAAAAACCACCTTACCAAACAGCATAGTGTTGCTCTCTGCCTACGTGGCAGAAGCGTTTTTTTGTGAAAAACGGGTCTTGGAAGCATGGGCCTTGAAAATCGGTCTCAAAAAGCGCCCATGCTTCCAAACACCATGTTGGTGTTGCTCCAAGCCCTGACTTCTTGATTTCTGAAGCATGGCTTGGAGCACCGTTTTTTATGAAAAAATGGTTCCAAACAAATGCCCGTTTCTTAGAGCACCGTTTTTTCGGATGAGGCACCGTTGCTCAAGGAAACGGCAACGATGCAAACAGCCCCTATAAAGAGTCTGTATTGACTTCTCAGAGGATGAGTTCAACGTTTTGCTTTCACAACTACATCATCTTCCACCTTCCTATAAATTTCTCTTATTTTCTTCCCCAGTATTATGTGCTTATCTTATAAAGAGTCTGGATTGGCGTCTCAGAGCATGAGTCAACGTTTTGCTTTCACAACTACTTCATCTTCCTCCCTATAAATTTCTCTTATTTTCTTCTTTTGGAAAGTACGAGAAAAAAGAGATCGCGACATCTTGCCTGAAACAGAGAAGGCAATATCTCCGACACTGGCGTTTCTATACGCTCAAAACACTAAAAGAAAAAGAAAGCAAATTTCTTTTCTTTGCTGAGAATTGAAATAGTAGTATACTTGGAGTTCATCCATGGCTTCTTCTTTGGTATCCAAATCATCAGATGAGTCTGATGCAACATGGGAGGCACTGCTGCCACCGGATATTGAAGTTTTTGTCGAAATGATTCCTCGGTCAGCACTATTCCGGTCGAAGAAAGAGATCTATGATCGTTTATGCGAGGGTGTAACCTTTGGCTCTGGCAATAAGGTAAAAGGGTTGATGTTTTGAACTTCTGCACTCCATTAACATCCTCACTTTTGTAAATTTTAATTTGATGGTTAGGTCATACATTTTTCATGTTTAACCCAATCGATAATGTTGTAACCCATTTGATTTGGTGACCTCCAGTGATATGATTTTGTAGATAAAAAGTTAGGAAGATAGAGAATTAATTGTGAAGATAGATGAATTAATTATAAGAGGAAAGTCAAGCATCGAGGATACAATTGTTGAATTTTTATTTTTGGATGCTCATGCAGTTTTGCTTCTTGGAGAAATCCACTGTTAAGAAATGCTACAGGTTGGGTGCAAGAGAGCTTTCTATTGTATCGGCATCAGAACCGAAACGCTGGACCTGGACATCCATGCCAGGATCAAGGTCAGTTTATATATAGAATCAAATCACATCTCTCCTTGACTCTCTTTATGATTATCATCTCCTGAAATTCCAGACTGAGTTCATCTTGTGCAGAGAGACTTCTTAATTCTTTTTTTACTCTGTGGACATGTACAAATTATAGGTTCCCAGAGGTGGCTAAACTCAGGCGCATCCGTTGGTTGGACATGGATGGATCGATTTACGCAAATTGGTTGTCCCCCAAAACACTTTATGCTGCTTATCTGCTCCTGAAATTCGATGAACAAGCATCAGGACTGGATGAAAAGCYTTCAGAACTTAAAATAGAAATTGGAAATCTAGTTTCCACGCGCAGGGTATATCTAATTAATTCTGTAGACAACAACAGCAATAAAGAGGAGGATGAAGATGGTGTTGTCGATCCAGATCAGGATTTCAACAACAATGAAGACGAAGATAGCATCCCCAATCCT